GGGGGGGGGGGGAGCGGAACTATTTTGCTTTCTCAGAACTAAGAAAGATTATGAAAGTGAATGGTGTCCCTGTACTGTTCTAGATGCACATGTTTGTTGCTCGTTACTGTGACCTGTTGAATGTAGACATATCCTGTGACGGTTGTGATGAGATTGCACCATGGCATCGCTACCGCTGTCTACAGTGTAATGACATGGATCTGTGTAAAACTTGTTTCCTAGGTAAGGATCTTGTCAGAAAATATGCCCAGAGTTGAAACTTTTTTTCTCCCTAGATTTGTATAGAACAATGGTGTTCAGCCAGAAGAAGCCCCTTGAAAATACAGCATCACAGTAAGAGGATGTATCATCTCCTCGCTGTACTCCAACTTGCAAACCTCAGTTCAGCTGTGTAGAACTAAGACCACTTTCTTTTTAGATCAAACATGATTCACAAGATAGACCCAAAGGCCAGGTCCACGCGAGCAGGGACATGCCTTTGCAGCAGCACAAATATTAATGGCACAGATTTGTGCTGCAGTGCACACCCCTGCCTGTCTGCTTTGCAATGGGACACATTTCCCGCCGCTTCATGTGCTGCAGGGTGGTGGGTTGGGGCTGGCTGGGGCACAAGGTGCCTCAGCATGGGTTAGCTGGCACGGCTGCCTGCTCCTCTGTCTCCACGCACTGTGGAGCCCCCATGTTGAGGCACCCTGCTCCCCAGCCAGCTGCTTCCTGGCTGGTTGGGGCGCATGGTGCCTCGAGACAGGAGAGCAAGCAGCCCTGGGCTAGGTGCTCCCCTGTTTCAAGGCACACTGCCCTGGGGTTCAGTGTGCCTCAGTGCAGGGACTCTACATGCCTTAGTGCAGGGGCTCTGCAGTGCAGCCCCTGTGCTGAGGCACAAAGTTACAGGGAAGCAACCAGCCCAGGGCTGCCTGCTCCCCCATGTTGTGGCACCCTGCATCCCAGCCAGTGAAGGAGTTGACTGGCTGGGATGCAGGGTACCTCGGCATGGGGGCTCCACAGCACATGAAGTCAGGAGAGGGCTGCCTGCTCCCCGATCTCTGCATTTGTCCTGGCACCCTCCACTTTGGCATGGTTTGCTTTGCGTTTTTCCCAGGTGTTTTTTTTTTTTTTCCTGCTACTGGGAGATCCTGGTAGCAAATTTTGCCGTGGCACTGCAAATCAGCAACACTGCACACTGATTAACATGCAACTTGTGTGGTTTGTAACACTGCAAGGAGGTTTGCAGCACCACAGACCACAGGTGCCTGCACATCTGGATTCAGCCAAAGATTTCAAATAGAAATCCATAGTTGTAGTCTTTCTGAATTACTTGCAATAGAAAAACTGCTCTATTTTCCTGTAGGCAAAAAAGAGTGAAAACTAAGAGCTGACATTTTCCAAGGGCTGTTTTGGGTCTATCCAGGGGTGCCTTGAATCCTAAAAAGGTTGAGAACCACTGGTATAGAAGTTGAGAAAAGAGTAAGGTTTTTCAAGATTTTTAGAATAGGAAGATGTAGACACCTCCATTCCACCCACAGGTCTTTTTTTTTTTTAAATTAATTTTTTTTTTTTTAATTCTTCATAGGTGGAGTTAAACCTGAAGGTCATGAAGATGACCATGAAATGGTTAATATGGAGTATGCCTGTGATCACTGTCAAGGTGTTATTATTGGTCGTCGGATGAACTGCAACGTTTGTGATGACTTTGATCTTTGTTATGGATGTTATTCGGCCAAAAAGTACTCTGACAGGTATTACTGTGTGATCCCATACTCCCACCTTGCTTTAAAAAAAAAAAAGCAATAATTTCACTCCAGTGTCTACCTGACATGAGATTACCAAATTGCCATCATTAGAGGAAAATTAGTAAATGTAAAACCCTTTCACCAAAAACTCATCCAGCAAAAGTTGCTATTATTCTGAATCCTGACCCAGACTCCAAAGGAAATTAGTTGCAGGTGGTTTTTTCCAATTTGTAGCTATAAAAGTTGTTCATTGCTCAGAAGTGTTTAAAATGTTGGTAAGTGGTGGTAGGTGAATACAAAAGAAGCACTTTCTGCATACTGATGCTTTCTTTTTCCTTACTGGCACTGCTCCTTGGTTGATACCAAAGTTCTTCACATAAACTTGATTTCTAGAACTCCAGTTCTGGGGAGACAGGATGTCCGCGAGCAAGTATGAATTCAGAGTTCTTTTGTTGCAACAGGAGCTCTGAAAATTGCACTACTTGAGCTAATATCTGCTGTTTGGAATTTTGAAGCATGCTTCCTTTTTCATTTTGCCTTCTTTTCTCACATGCATTAATCCCTTATTCCTTGTTTATCCAGGAAAACTATTATACTTTTCAACTGTTAATACTTTCTTTCAGTCACCTGCCCACTCACAGCATCACAGTGTACCCGATGGTAACAATTCGAATCAGTGATCGACAGAGGCTTATCCAGCCTTACATCCACAACTATTCGTGGCTGCTGTTTGCTGCTTTGACGCTCTACAGTGCAGACCTGGCCAGTGGGGAAGAAGTAGAAGGAGAAAAACTTGAGCCACAAGTCCTCAGTCATGCCAGAGATCTGCAGCGTCAGTGCATACAACTCCTTGGAGACTGCCTAATGAAAGCCCAGCACGGAAAAGGTGACTCAGACGTTCCTGAATTAAAGCAAATAGTTTCTTGCTGGTTCCCAGTACAAAGTCTCTGGTTAGTCACTTTGCAGTTTTCCAGGAAGGGGAAGCACTGGGTACAACTATGTGCACACTTTACTGTGGAGCTGACTAATTATCTCAGCAGTAAAGTGTCACCGTCTACATGTATTATTAGCATGCAGTAAATTAATTAACTATGCTGTAGGATCGTACTGTCTGTGACAAGTACTATCCTACAGCATAGTAGATGCATGCTCTGAAATGCATATTTAAACGGTGATGAGGGCTGGCTGGGGCATGAGGTTGCCTGCCAGCGGGCCCCACAGTGTAACCCCCTCATGCCCTAGCCAGCCCCTCCACTGCACGCCGAACCGAGGTGGAGCAGCCCTGGGCCCCCTGCTCACTCAGTGTGCTGCAGTCCTGGATGCACGCGTAAACGTTGCACCTGGGAGAAATGAACTCTGGTGCGATCTGTG